TGGAGAGTTCCTTCATACACCATGCACATACAGTCATAAAACCCCTGGACAAACAATATTCTGCAAAGACAGTATCACACTCCACATGGCTTTATTAGGAAACTTGTGGATTCAAACACTTAAACAACAAATAAATATAAAGCAGAGGTTTGATTCGCTGAAGGATGTGTCAGTTTTTTACAGCATTTTGGCTATAGATGAAGCTATAAGTCAAGCTGAGGCTTTGTGCACCATGCAGGAAGAAAAAGAGCATGCGGGGTGTGCTGAATGACAAAGTGATACTTCCTAAGAGGTGGCAGGGTCTGCCAAAAGAAACAAAGTGGGGCGTGGTGCTCCCTGAGGCCAGAGCTGCTTGTTCAGCTCTTTGGATGATGTTTGTAGTGACAGTGCTGAGCTCTCACTCGCTCACTCACTCACTGTCAGCACTTTTTTTAAAATGATGTATATGGGACAGCAATCAAACCCAGATGAATTGGCTCTCTGGCCGGTGCTCAGCAGACTCAGATCAAAATGTGAAGCAGCAGGGAGGCTGGTGAGGTCCCGGTCATTCCAGCTTTCCTGGATGTTATTTCACCCTTCTCAGTGACTAATACAGAATCAGTTATCTCACCCTAATGAGCCAATTACAGGCTGCAAGATTGCAAGATTTGGAGTTAAAATAAATCTGAGAGAAATTATGTGCAGAGAGGCCTGGGAGGTGGTGGGTAACCAAGCCATAACAAATAAGCCAATTATCAGAGTGGATTTGGATGTACAATCTCATGTAATAATTCTGTCCATCCTTTATTTATAGCGCTTATTCTGAAGAGGGTTGCAGGGGTCTGGAGCCAATCCTAGCTGACATTGGGAGAGAGGTAGGGTACGCCCTGGACACATCAGGTGTAATTATTATAATGTATAAATGTCTGTAAAATGTTTCTCTTCTTATACACTATGTGCTAATTTTGGATTACTCAGTGACTCAAGGACTGCAACTCAAAGCTTTTTGAATAACCTCAAGAAGCAGGATAGCTCTGGAAAGAACACAATCCCTTCCATTGATCTGCATGCACTCAGAACAGAGTGCATCTGAGGACATAGATTCTGGCCTGAGCCCTGAAACACAATCTCTCCACAGTCTTCAACTCCTCATCTTAAGCACACAATTGTCTTTGACCTTGTGGTCTGTTTTACTACACTCACTCATTTTACTACATAATCTCCCAGTTGTTTTACAGGAAAAGTGGTTGTAAGGTTTCATCAGTCTTTAACCATTCATTTTTTTCCCAATAGGACACATGATTTCACTTTGCTGGGCTGTAGCTTTTGTTTCTGCTGTTGTCAACTCAGCATGTGTTGTCTCTAATACTAAATATTCTCATACCCTGAGACTAAGATCCAGCCTCAGCTTTTGATGAGTTGATCATGACAAATTTATAAGCACCCGTGTCAAGCCCAGATGTAAACAGATATAGAAGCAAAAGAGTCCATCAAGTGCACCCTGAGCCTTGTGCCACTACTGGGAAATTAGCTGTTAGACTAAAGCTTGTATAAAAAAGTGTCTAAACCTCTGGAGGAGATTCTCCCTCTTTCTCAATTTCAGTCGACAGTGGAAATTCACTGAGGCTTGATTATAGCAGACAAATGTTGGCTCAGCTGTGTGCTTTAAGAACCCATGATGTCAGAGCCTTATTTTCCTTGGAGAGACTCTCATCAGCTGCATTGTTCCAGGAAACCATGGTCTGTTCTCTGGGCAAAAAAAAAAAAAAAAAATCCTGCCCAAAATGCGGTGCACCCGCATCTCTGCTGAATGCAGCATGCCTGCCTCTGGAACAACTCAAGAACACACATAGACATGTAGCATCATGTGCTGAGCATCAGTGCAACATATTTTCTTGGAATCAAAGCTTTATTTCTGCTGTGACAGTGCTTGTCTTTTCTTTCTTTTATTTTCTATTAGAAAAAGAGTGTTGGTAATGAAAGGCAATCTGTTGACAGGATGGAGAAATCACGTGTTGACCATCACAGAATTATAAAACACTGTTACTACTGATGTCAACGAGCCTAGATTTCTGAGGTGTCTTTATGCACAAACCTGAAGGCGGTGTGATCAACTGCTGACAGGTGATTTAGCAGCTGACAGAGCTGATGAAAAAACTACTCTGCAGCTTCAAAATTTAAAACATGCACACAGTGGCGTCAAACAAAACCAACTGTGAAGCAGCATCAGCACATTCAGAAGTTGAATAAACTTTACTGGCATCATTTAAAGGTTGAATGAGCTATGTTGTGGAAACATGAAGATACCCAGCAAATCACATCTGGTCCTCATAAGATTATTTGAATCAACTTTTTTGTTGTTGTTGTTGCTAATGCTCTTTGTTAGAGAGCTGTGGTAAGAATCGATTAGAAATTCAAAACAGGAAAAAAATCACAGTTACCTGATACAAACCTTCACCACGTTACCCACTGACTCTTCAGTGCCAAGGAAACTGATAGAGCCCAGACATTTTCGATCAGCAGTGCATCTACACTCCATACCAGTACATGAATACAGCCTATATCAGGAAAACAGTACGTGGGAAAAGAAAGGGAGAGATTATCAGAAAAAGAGAAAGGTTACAACAACAGAGTGGGAAGCTCACAAGTTCAGTTGTGCTTCTGCTGGAACAGCCTTGCCCCTGAGGACAGGTTCAGTCCTTCAGTAGAAGTCCTCATCCTCCAACAATAATACTTACAAAATAAAAGCTGACCGCTCCAAGTAAAATCACTTCAACTGAGTTCAACAGCTATTATTCATGTCACGGTTCTCTATCCCCTGTGCTATGGCTCCTGTGATGATAATAAGGTAAACCTTTAGGGCTAAGAAGCAGCCAGCAAGCAGCTATGTCAACATAATGGCTCTTTGGTGTTTGCTTGCTTTTTATTATCACCTGATGGTCTTCAACTTAGTGTGGTATTGAACAACATTCCCAGTCACAAAACTGTGGCATAACAAAATCTTCTTAAGTGTTTAAGCATCCAGATTAAAGTGAGAGGGAAGAACTGAAATAGTATGAAAAGTAATTTAAATAATAAACTATAGGCCTATGGCCGAGGAAAAGTAATGTTAAAGAAATGGATAAGAATAAAGATAATTTAATCATAAATTAAATAGGATTTAAACCGTTAAATAGTCATTCAGTTTGAAATAAGGTGGGTTTAACAAAAATAACAACAAATGCAATTAGTTTAATATCTTTTCGTTTTATTGGTCCTATTGTTGTGGGCCTGGGATTCTTGTAGTTAAGGAAGAGAACTGGAGGGGGCGGGTAGACGAGGAGCTAAGTAGATAAACCAGAGGTCAACTACCAGTAGAATGCCCGGGGAAAATTTGAGTACACGGAGAAAAAAGAAGTTCAATTGTAGTCTTAGAGATTACCACATATTCCTCTAACTAGTCTCTGTTTACTTGGGCAAACATTGGTGTAAAATAGAAGTCTGTAATTTAATGAAATAAGTGCATATGTTATCTGCTAAGCTAGCAAGAGATGCTAATAGGGTAGCAACAGGCTCTCCTAGCGTGTTAGCATTAGCATCATTGGTGATTAGTGCCTGTATTAGCCATTGGTTCCTGGAAAACCCTCAAAATATCTCTGATAAACACCTGCTATGCTTTTCTTGGACCACAAAGTGGATTTCCAGGACTACAAACAAATTGTAAGTTAATACTTACTGTACCTTTATAATAGTACTGGGTGGTCCCTATGTATAAATTGGGTTTGGACCAGCAATGATTTGATTTGGCACCAAAAATATACATTTTTATTTTAATATTAAAATGTATATTAGTTTTAGTCAAAACCCAATCATATGATTTGAGTTTTTGTTGTTGTTTAGTAAAGAAACCACATTCTACTTAATTTTCTGAGTTACTTTTAAGTGTAATTTTTGTCCTGCATGTTTAATATTTATATCTTATAAACATCTAGAGGATAAACGATATACTATATGATGTTCATGAATGATGCTCATGAATGAAACTCATGAATGAAGCTCATGTATTAGGACAGCTGGATTTGACGCCTTCACTCAGTGGTTCAGCCAGTCTTTTCCAGTGGCCACCGGCAGTAATGCAATAAAAGTCCCCCTGCAGCTGAAAGATAATTTTCTCCATATTTCACACAGATAAAAGAGATGCTTGTAAAACTGTTGATAGGACACCTTGAATTGTAAACTAGGTAAATTATTAGAAACAGAAGAATATCTTTTACATCAGTCCCACTGAACATGTTCCTTTTAAAGTGTGTGTAGTTTTTATTTGCTGTATTTTACCACGGGTTAATTAAGTAATTTGCTCCTTGTCTATTGTTTTTAGTTTTGGACTATAGGTTTCCATTCTCCAAGGTGTTTCTGTGGGCTCCTCTGTGTGGTTTTTGTACACCAATCGCTTCCAGGTTGTGAGTGCACACGCGTCCGGTATAGACACAAGTGTGAGATGCTATGGGCTGCACACACTAGGCTTTGGGTCTGTACCACTGTGTGCACAACATGAACCGGGGGCGACTGTGGTTCAGTGGGTAGAGCAGTCATCTCTCAACCGGAGGGTCGGAGGTTTGACTCTTGTACCTGCAGTCCACGTGTCGAAGTGTCCTTGGGCAAGACACCCCGATGGTTAGAGCCATCGGTTGAGTTGGCGCCGCAGGTGGCTGCCTCGGTTTTGTACTGGAAATAAATTCCTTGTGTGTAACATACTTGGCCAAATAACGGTGATTATTATAGAGAGTCACTTTCGGCTTTTCCCGTTTTAGGGGTCACCACAGTGAATCGTCACACTGACAGATCGCATATTGACATTTGGCATGTTTTACGCCAGATGCCCTTCTTGATGTAACCCTGACTCGAACCCGGGCTGCAGTGGCGAGAGCACTGCACCTTAACCACTACCAGGGACGGCTATTATCCTGATTATTATCATGAGTGTAAATTTGACTGGCA